TTTCCTTTATGAAAATATACTGCGATATCTCGAATATCGTGCCAACTGAATCATGAGGTGGCTTGTGTGTAGCACATTCAGTTGGAGGACATCATAAACGAGAGATTCAGTTGAGTTTCCCATGAGAACCAAATTGATTTGCAAATTAGTGTATTTCTCGAAAGTGGCCTATTTAAGCGCAGCTGATAGAGAAATGGATCTCCTAAAACAGTCGTGTTTTGAGAAGTGAGTGTTTTTACCGTAAAGTGCACGTACGTTAAAGCTGACAAGTCTGTTTTCTTCCAAAAGGGACCTGAGCCTACATAACTGAAATACTCATGTATAATTCAGAAATGCATGGTCATGCAAACAGTTCTAAGGGTATCTGGCACCAAAAAGCTACGCCATTTCCGATGGCTGGCTGGTTAGCAAATTGACTGATCACACCGTCAGTCTAGCAGGTGGAATTTCACTGCAAGCAAACACATCAATAACTTGGTTCGCTGTCGGAGTCCAATGGTTCTCCACCGATAGTTTGGTCTTCAGAATTGGCGTTTAACTTCCTCTCTCTGATACCACGGCACTAAAGCAAGTACCCTCACCCCTGAAGTTTCACATCTTCAAGAACGTGAACCCCCATCGCTTTGCGTAAGTAGGATTATCTTATCACGTGCAACAAGACAAAACAAACTCGCCGAAACTACTGAGCCATGTTGCACACTCTCTTTCCTCAAAGGAAGCAAGACGCTAAGTGAAAAGGAGTTGAAGCAACAAAGGGGTTAAGCAAAGGGAAACTCGATCTTCCTTTAAAAAAATTAGGCTTGGCGAACACGAGTGATGTCAGCCCCAAAACACATTGGTAACTCGAGGAATACACTAATTTGCAAATCAATTTGGTTTTGCAAATTAGTGTATTTCTCGAAAACAGTCCAATTTGGGTTCAAGTAGATCATAAGGTTGACGGGAACCCGGGGACTGCGCCTACCTGATGAGCACCAAGAAGACGAAACCAGTCATGGGTCGTCGAAGAGTTTTCAGCAACCTTGTGAGTAGTTTCCTTTATAAAGAAAATACATTGATAACTATTTCGATAGGAGATTCGTCATGCCATCTGTGAGAGACTAGGCCAACTGTATCATTCATACAATAAATGATAGTGGTTTTCAGTAAATTCAGACATGGAAAGCTGCACCGATCCTCTTCGGGGCACTACAAATTTTTACTACCATCAGATAGCTGTCGCACGCATCGCACCTGTCTTGCCCTAGAATTTGGTTTCAAACAGTTCGGATCTAGTATCACCTGGGTAACTGGAACCGGTTTCCGCGATATTCTTCCTATTCTAGTGTTTCCATGGTACCTGCTAGTCAGACTGTAGACACACTTTGTCTCAGCCTATATTTATGCATTATAACGAGTATTTAGAATACTGCATAGAACACATCGTTAGACCAAAGCGACTGTCTCTGTATTTAGTGTAACGAATGCTGATGCCTCGAGGCATCTGATCCTGTATCCCACGACATAATCGTCGGATCTGACGGGATGATCGATCACAATCAAAATTGTCTCGTAGTTAGGAAAACAATGAGTCAACTCAAGCCAGTAACTCGATTGATGGGGTCCCTCGGGAGAATGACAGAATAAAGATACAAGTTTCGTGTTATTCTGGTAGATGACTTTCTGTTACTCGTGAGTAGGTTTTGTTTACAGAGAGTCGGGCACACCTTGAATATAAGGGTGAACTTGTGGTGTTTACAATCGCACAAATAGCTATGATGATCGACGCCCGGAAAACGAAGGCATTCGTGATCATCTCACGATTCAGATGTATGACGACCTTACCTTTAGCCCACCTCTGCTAAGGAGGTCATTAAATCCTTGTGATCCAAGTGATATCATGAGCTATCGGGCTTGCTCTTCACACTTACTGAGATAGCGTTGGTGACCACTATCAACAGTTACTTATTCCTGCTGCTCCGAAGCCCCATCACCGGATGGAGTGCAAAGCAATTTAATTGACACTGATACTGGCGAAGTTCCTCATTCTCAGTTGACAAACAAAGTAAGGCAGTCGAATAAGCAGACTGAGGGCTGATGTCATAGAATACATCACATATTTTACAGCGATTTCGGTAATGTAAAAAAAGCCAAGAAGCACCAAATTCTTACGTTCAAGCACACTAATTCAAAGACAATATGAACGTTTGTGCGAAAAACGTCTAAGTAACACGCGATAGTGCACAGTGTGACCGAGGCTCTATTATTTGACCTGGTTGTTGAGTACGTCAGTCATCCTATTCCCATCCAAAGTGTACAGTTGATCATGACGTGGGATATTTTGACTACCTGGTATGTTGTATCCTGTATTAATGAACGATTGTTGTTCTGTCCAGAACGGGAGTAGCCTCATTTATACAACCATGGAGTCCATCTCCGCTGCATCTTGGTGAGGACTGCGATAAAGGACATGACAAGCAGATGTGCATTTGTCGAGCAATTCTGTTGGGTGGCACATAACGGATGCAGTGCCTCCAGTCATCGGGTTTACAGGTGTATCTTGGTTGCACCGAGGAATCGTTACCTCAGTAACTTTTAAGGCCAAGGGCATTCCCAGTCCATAGACCCTAGTTGTTAGATCATGTGGGGATGGCTAAACCGCTAAAACCAGGGCAATTCAGATACCCACACTTTCCATGAGGCATACTAACGGCGCACAGGTAAGGCTAGCTAATCAGTAGATCTGTACATTTGGGGCCCCAGGAAGTCGCTTATCTTTGTAGCATCAACACATTGGAATGTCCAGGGTTCTTTGTACATTTACACATAAAATGCATATAAAATACGCTGTTCATATACACTGTATTAGAATTCACTTTAGCACACTTAAAATACATACATGATAAAGTTGAGATACTGTCGAGTAACAAAAGAAACTGGTAATCCACACCAGAAATTGTGGGTGCTGCACCACATAAGGCTCCCGTAAATATGAGTGGTCGCATTTCCCCGAATGGTAGTGAAGGCCGCCTGTCACCCACGTTATCGGCACGTGTACATAATGAGTGCAGCTGCAACATGCGGCCACGCACAAGCTTTTTTGGTCCAAACATGGCTAGTGCTGTTGAGTGGCTTACTTGCTCTGGTCATAACTTCCGGTCCAACGTCAGCAGCTAACCCGGTAACTTGTTGATAAAGAACTGTTCGGCATTCATATCGTTCTCTCCTAATACACCGTCATCCCGTCAGATACTAAAAAATCTTCCATCCACACAATGTATATCGCTCACTTTTGACTGATTTTCGACGAAGCTCAAGTAGATTCTTCTCCGTCTTTTTTGTCGTCCTCTAAAGGAAGAGAAAATCGTTCCACTCGAACAACTATTCTATGACGAAACATTGGTGCTTTTTGTCAAATCGATCATTTCATTGCGCTTGGTTGAACAAATTAGGGGAACAAAGACTCCAAGTCTTTTATGTTGTCTAAGATGTTCTCGCTTCTAAAAAAAGATTGTATGGCTAAACTGTAATACAGCGCAAGGGTCGGAACAACTTGGCTGGTCATGGTCAATTCGGAAACAGATCGTGTCAAATAATAGCGATGGCTGCTGCCCTTGGGAGAGCCGCTCTGAATAACCGAACATGACCTCGGGTGGACGGATGCGTCGGATCAAAAGATAGTTCCGATCAGTAAGAATTTGAGTCAATCGCAACGCAGCGCTTTTAGGTCAGAACTTCTTCATCCATCCCGAAGATCCCAGCTTAACCCTGCGAAAAATATCGTGATAACCCCTTAGATAGAGTTGTAACGACTTGCTTGTCTATTAAAGGATACCATGCTCGCTGGTGGACCGCTCACAATGCAATAGCTGGCAGAAACACCAATCCATGATTTTAGTTTCAATGGAGCAACTCCAAGTAATTGCAAAGCAGCAACACAAGCGGTTCGAAAAAGCTCAAATGGAGTTTATTGAAACTCTGGTGCAGTGTGTTGGTGAATACGACTTGGGACTCTGTCTTCTTCGACGTATGACGCTTCCACACCAAACACTGAATTCAATTTCGACGATTAATCTGGACAAAGTTGGGTTTAAAAATAAGAGGACATGCTTCAAACCGACTTTTCTCGGTTTGATGATGAATGGAGAACTTTATTGTTGATGCAGAAAATGGGAACAGCTGAACATGATCGATGCACAAATTTTATGCTTTACGAGTTCCGTCGTGACCTTCACTTTACAGCTATCATCAAGATTCTGACCAAAATATTCGGTGACTAGAGTTCACTGTTCACTATTCTCTGTCAGTGTCTTGAGATTATCAAGGGGGTATACTGAAGATTTTATCACGCGCAGCGGTATGGTTAACAGTGTGAGCGCTTCAAGCTCAGTACCATAACCGAGGATCAGTTGAAGTGTCTTATTATCATGGAATTCAGAAATTCTGATTTAGCTACTGAATTGAACTAAACGGAATCTAGAGTTGAGAATTTATGAACTTACTTTTGGACTCCAGTCTCTGATCCCTCTCGAGACCGCAATTACTGAACATTTCCAGCCGTTCCAGCCTGACATGGTGGGCGAAGCAACCCTCAAAAGGCATTCAGATTCTAAACGGATTCCAGAAAAGTTGTCTACACCTTGTCGGTTTTGTGACGAATGGCATTTTTCACTCGACTGTCTCCGTCGGAAACTCAGGTGCAGCAGATGAGATCGAAAACATCAAGAAGGAGAATGCCGCGGAGGCTACTTTAGGAGGTCGCTCAATTATTGGCCTGACGGAAGAATATACTCAAGTGCCGTGATCGCTACACCTAGGGTAAAATAACTTGGTTGGCGAAAGTTCGACACAATTTGTATCAATGTTACATCGTTCGCCATCCAACATCGCACAAAGTCCGGTCTAACTCTGATGTTGGAGCCTACCTGAAACTTGAGTGAGAGGCCACCAGTTTAAGACGCAAATTTCATTGTTCGGAAAGTGACAGAAACCTGAATCTAACCTGAAAGCTCTGCGATGTCCGATGTGCCTCACTTCATTGATACTCCCTACTTCACCAGCTATGCAGACCTCAATCTCCTAGGTCTGGATTCAACTGATGAGCTCCGACTCTTGGAGAAACCTCACACCACACCTTCGTTGTCCTTACAGCTACAGCCAAACCAGAGACCAGTCGTATTTTACGCGAAACAGCAGTTATCTCGCGCGTTACGTTCGACACAGATAGTTCTTCCAATTCAGTCCGTCTTGGTGAATCCTGCGAACGGTCTGAAACGTTATACTCCCGGTTTTTACATTTCAGTGCACAGTCCAGCGGCCAGACAGAGCTTTCTACTGCTGTCAAGGAAGTGAAGGGGGAACGATCGACGTAAACGACACCACCACAGTACCATAAAACCAGCTGCTGAATTGAGGAGACCGTAAACACTGTGAATGGTGGTCGCTGGCTACGTCAAGCGAATGCACCACATGCAACAGACTGTGACTTCACAATGACAATAGGTCGCCCGGAACACCGGACAGCCTTGAAAGACCTCCTAAATGGAGGGTACAGGCAGAGCCATCTACGTCTCTCTGTGAGCATACTTTGGGAGATTTCAAGTTGGTGGATTGCAAATACTTCGTTTTTGGATGGTATTGGTGCTTTTTGTAAACCCGGCTTCCTACGTCACATCTCAGTTTGCAGCTTTAGTCCACAGTTAGACCATCTGCAGTCTGGCTATCATCTGACCTTGACCCTCACCGCATCGCCCTTTACCAGCGTCGTTCCGTCAGTCTTTAACCCATTCCGGTGAAACTGTTTACACATGTGGGATTTCCAGCGGCATATTTCTAACAAAATAGTGTGTCAGAGATGACGCATAGAGAAGTTAGTGTGTGCGTGTGTGTTGGTGCCACTAAGGGGAATATAAACAGACTTATCGTCGTGACTGGTTGTGAAGGTCACTGTGCGTCTAAGGCTCTCTCCAGAGAACTGAGGAAATCACCGGAGAGATAGACTGAGCCACCTGATACAGGCTTACGAGTGTGCAGTTGACACAGTGCATAGGGATTACA